CTTCCTTCCTTCCTTCCTTCCTTCCTTCCTTCCTTCCTTCCTTCCTCTCTCTCTCTTTCTTTTTCTTTCTCTCTTTTCTCTCTTTCTTTCGTTCTTTCTCTCTCTTTCTTTCTTTTGAGACAGGCTCTTACTGTGTAGCCCTGTCTGGCTTGGAATTTACTTTGTAAACCAGGCTAGCCTGGAACTCAGAGAGATCCACTTGCCTCTGCACCCTGAGTGCTGATTAAAGATGTTATCATGCTCAGCTTGATAATTCTTTTTAAAATTATTACCCTTCTTATGAATAAATTGAGAGAAAAATAAGAGTCTACAACTTTAGTTGATAATTTTCAACTTTCTCCTCCTCCCTTCCCTTTCTTTCTTTCCTTTTCTTCTTCTACCCTGAAACTGAATGGACAACTGCAACATAATTTTAAAAAGCATTCATCAGGTTTATCTCTAGTGCAAGTGCATGTGTTTGTGTATTCTGTGCATGTTTGTTCATTGTAGTCACACACAGTAGCCAAAGGTCAAGGTCAGTTTCATCCTTTGAGGAAGGTTGTCCTTCCTCAAAGAAACGAAACAGGGTGTCTCATAGAGCTCGAAGCTCACCCATTTGTGTAGGTTTGTAGGCCAGCAACCCCTTCCTAGTACACATGTGCTCTGCTTTTTACATGGGTCCGCATGTTTGCCCAGCAAGCTTTTTATTGACTGAGCTATCTTTCCAGCACTTGCCTTCTTTAAAAAGTATTATACTTATCTGTTTAGCATGTGTGTGTGTGTGAGCACATGTGTACATGCCTGAGCACATATGTGTTTAGTATGTGTATGTGTGTAGTATACATGCAGAGCCTAGGGCCAAAGGACAGCTTGTAGTTGTCAGTTTTCTTTATCCAGCACGTGTTCCAGGAATTGAAACCGGTGTCATCGGGCTTGGCAGGAGTGCCTTTACCATCTCACTCGCCTCTGTCTGTCTGTCTGTCTCTTTTTAACTTTCGGACATTAATAAGAGAAATAATTTGTCAGAAATTGTGTAGCAGTTTTGCTTATTTAAAAGTACAGATTACAGGATTAGAGATGTAAATCCTTAGTAGTAATTGCTTAACATACACAAAGTATGAGGTTTGATACCCACCTCAGCATAAAATTAGGGTATGGTGGCCCATGTATGTAATACTATCACTAAGGAGGTGGGGGCAGGAGGATTGGAAGTTTAAGGTTTTCCTTGACTGCAAAGCATGTTTGAGGTTAGCCTGGGCTATGTGAGACCCTTCCTCAAAAGGAAGTATAGATGACAACGGGCAGAAGATGTAAGCACAACTATTTAGTTTCCTATATAATTGTTGTCTCAAGGAAGGGGAGTGTGGAAATGTTCAGTACGTGGAGTGCTTGGTTTCTTGTTGGATTTTACTTCAGATATTTAGGAATTGGGAAATACAGTTTCTCTTAAGAAGCTGATGTTGTGCAAAGTGTGTATTTGAAACCTGTTTTCACTGTATGTGGAACAATGGTTTTGGCTTTTCATTTGAAAAGTGAAAAGCCAGGCTTGGTGGTATATGCCTTTAATGCTAGCACTCGGGGGGCAGAGGCAGGTAGATCACTGAGTTCGAGGACAGCCAAGGCTACACAGAGAAGCTCTGTCAGAGAGAGAGAGAGGATAATAATAGTATTTTTATAGAGAAATATTGGGGAGGACTTAAAGTAACAGATGTGAAACATTTAGGGTCATATTGATGCATAGTAAACTATTGGTGATATTAACTGTTTTCTAAAAATTTAAAAATACTCACTTTATGTGTCTGAATATTTTGATTACATGTATGTATGCAAACTTACTAACTATATATATATATATATATATACACACACACATACACACACACACACACACACACACACACACACACACACACACACTGCTGGGACCAAATCTGTGGCTTTGTACACACCAGGCGAACATTCCACCACCTGGATACAGCCCTGTTTTAGGTGCACTGTCCTTCCCTGGGTTTATTTAGGTCACAAAGATGTCAGAATTTTAAACTGTTTGTATAGAGTGGTTTTAATACAGTGGATAAAAAACTCCCTAAGTTCCCAGCCTGCCTTTCATAGTCTTGGTGCCTCCTTGCGTCACATTGTTTCTTCCTCAAATGTCTTTTTTTTTTTCCTCACAACAATGGCAATACAATTTGATTCTTGGTCACCTTCTGTTTCACACTACTTCCTCTATTTTATGTCTTACTCATGAGTCTTACTAAAGACATTGCAGTGCCTGCAGAGATGGCTCAGTGATTAGGAGCACTTGTTGCTCTTGCAAAAGATCTGGGTGCGGTTCCCAGCACCCACGTGGTGGCTTCCAGTGGTCTGTAACTCCAGTTCTCAGGGATCTGAAACCCTCTTCTGACCTCCATGGGCACCAGGCTTGCATATGATGCATATACATGCATGCAAATATTCATGCACATAAAAATTTTAAAAATACATTGTAAATGCTTTAGGTCAGATTTTTTTTTTTTTTCAGGACTTTTAATGTATCCTTGGCTGTCCTGGAACTCACTCTGTAGACCAGGCTGGCCTCAAACTCACAGAGATCTGCCTGCCTCTGCCTCCCGAGTGCTGGGATTAAAGGCGTGCACTGTGATCACTACCTCATCTCCTCCTCCTCCTCCTCTTTTGTGTACAGTATGGTACCAATAACAGTGCAGAGCTGCTGAAGGCTAATATACCAGGCACTGTCCTAAGCATTCTTTATGGGTTAAGTGTTATTTCCTCCAACAACACTGAACAAGGTAAACCCACAGTTCTAGAAAAAAAGCTGAAAGGTTAAGGGTCTGGGCAACGTGGCCGAAAACCATAGGCCCACATGCCTTAGAGTTGGGCATTGAGCCCAGCAGTGTGTGTCAGTCAACACAGGTGGTTTCTCTTTCGTGAGGTTCTAATCCTGGCATCAGTCCATATGCCTGCTGTTGGCAGGTTGCTGCCTGGCTCTTCTGTGTATAAAAACTACTATAGAGTGACATGTGTAGTTCCAAAATACCTCCAAAAAAGAAATTATAAAAAAAAACTGACTTTATTCTGGGTGTAGTGGCACATGCTTTTAATCCTAACACTAGGAAGGCAGAGGCAGGAGGATGTCTGTGAGTTTGAGGCCAGTGAGAGCTACATAATAATACCCTGTCTAAACAAAATGAAACAAAACCTGGTTCATGGACTGGCAAGATAGCTCAGCAGGTAAAGGCACTTGTTACAAGTCTTGACTTGAGTTTGATCTGTGGACCCACAGAGTGGAAGGGCAGTACCAACTGGAGAAAGTGGTTCTCTGACCTCTATATGTGTGCATACAAAATAAAACTGTAAAAATCGAACTGTTTTCTCAACTTTTACTTTTAAGAAATTTAAAACATTTTTGTATATGGGTTTTTTTGTTTTTTTTTTTTTGTTTTTTTTTTTGTTTTTTTTTTGTTTTTGGTTTTTGGTTGTTTTGTTGTTGTGGAGGTTTTTTTTTGTTTGTTTGTTTTTTGTTTTTGTGGCATCAGCCTTTAATCTCAGCACCCTGGAGGCAGAAGCACAAGGGGATCTCTGAGTTCAAGACTAGCCTGATCTACATAGTGAATTAGAGGCCAATCAGGACCACATAAGTGGGACCCTGTCTTGAATTAATTAAGAAAGAGGAAAGAAAGGAAGGGAGGAATGAATGAATGAATGAATGAATGAATGAATGAATCTTTAGCTAGTTAAACTGAGCAGGTCCCTTTTTTGATGGGGCCTGGTATGCAGTGGCTGCAACAGCAGCGACTTTGGTAGTGCTTATGTCTGTTGCCTGTATGGGCTGCCCTAAGGGATCTTGGAGACGTTGGTCATTTTGTCTGATTTCAGTGCTGTCATTAAACTAAGCTCCAGACAGGTATGTGTGATGCCTTTGGGGAGCCCCAAGGCACAATGGCCAGCTCATCATGTGCTTCCACACCAGACTGCAGAGTGAGGAACATGTGATAGAACCGAGTTCCTATTGTCCCTGGCTGCAGGATCAAATATAAACCCACTCATGGTGCCCTTAACACACCTGACTCTCCTCGGCTTTAATGCGCTGTCCTGTATCCCACCAAATTGTGTTAGTAGTAAATGTCATATACAGTTTGTCTGAAAACAAACAAAAAAGCAAAAATAAAGATGTTTTTTCTAAGAATAACAAATTCTCTTATAAGGTTAGTGTTGTTATTATACTTCTGAAAATTACTAGCTGCCATTGGGGGTGTAGATAGAGTAAGTTATATGGCATGTGTAAGGCCTTATGTTCAACTCCAGCACCACAAACAAAATTACAAACGAAAAAGATTGTGTCTCATAAAAATGACAAGGAAGCTGTACCACAATAACACAGTAATATGGGTGCCTAAAGAAGACTTGCATAATGACATACTGATAGATATATTAACTGGCAGGGGACATTCTCAAAGGGTCCTGTTTTTAGACTATCTGCAGGCAAATAATAACTGCTGAGAGATGCAGAATTATTTTTCCCAGAGATGAGCCTCTATTTGGTTACCCAGCATCTGTCTCTATATCTGTTACATGTCTATGTATGTATATATAATCACAGGTTTAGAGATGGGAAGAAAACTTTGTGGAGTCAGTTTTCTCCTTCACGTTTATGTGGATTCTGGGGATCATACTCAGGTTGTCAGGTTTACACAGCCAGCACGTTTACTTTCTGAGCCATCTTACAGGCTCCATGTTTTATTTATTCTTAGATTTGGAAAAAAATACTTCAAAGCTTATGCTGTGCTGGCATATCACATTCTGAGCCACGTAATCATTGATATCTCACTGTGGTTAATATTTGCTAGTAACTCATTTAAAGTAGTAGCTGTTAAGTATCTCCGTGGTGGTTTGAATAAGATGTCCCTCATAAGTCTTGACCATTTAAATTCTTGGTCCTTGGTTGGTGTGACTGTTTGGGAATGATAAGGAGTTGTGGCCTTATTGAATGAGGTTCGTCACTGGAGTTGGGCTTTGATGTTTCAAAAAACTCCATGCTGCTCTCTCTGCCTCCTGCTTGTGGATCTAGATGTTAGCTGTCAACTGTTCCTGTCGTCATGCGTTTACTCCATAATAATGCACTCTAAACTTATGAAACCATAACCTCAATTAAATGCCTTTTTTTTTTTTTTAAGTAAGGTGTCTTGGTTGTGGTGTTTTGCCAAATAATAGAAAAGTAACGAAGACAACCTCTATTATATTTTTATATATGTACATATTTCTATTTTATATTTTTAATACGTAATCTAGGGTGACATTTAAACTGTTGTTTCAGTTGAAAAATCTTTAGTGAGCTCTTATGTCTTAGAGTAGTATGAAGTTGTTTCTAGTCATGGTGGCACATGCCTGGAGTCCTAGCATTTGGGAGCCTGAGGGCTGCATGTCCCTGCAATTGGAGACAAGCCTGTATATACAACAATGTGAACTTCATTTCTCTTGAGCGCATAGTTTCTGCCAAACTTAAAACTAGTTCCTGAGATAAAGCCCTTTGTTTAACTATGCTTTGACAAAATATTCTCCTTGCCCGTCATTTACCTCTTTGTTTCTTAATGATCTTAAAGTTCATGTTATGTGTCCTTTTCTTTCCTAGACCATGGTGTTTGTGTCTTTTGCCCAACATTTTCTCAAGTATTTTTCTGAAAGTTATACAGTTTTAACTTTGATGTTTTAGTTTGTGTCATTTTAATTACTTCTGTTTATTATAAACATAAAGATTGAAGTTCACAACACATCAAGGGAGTTGAGTTAGTCCCTTTTGTTGAAATTGTTGTTCTTTCTCATTGAATTACCTGGGGCCAAGCACAAGAGCCATAGCCGTTAGTTGTTTTAATTATTTTCCTATTACAGTGAGCATATCACATTTTTTTCATTCAGTTGGCTTCTGGGCGAGTGAAGTTATGTTGAAGGCTAGTATACTCAGGACGTTGGCAGGCAAGTGGATAACAGTTACATTATTATTATTTTAGATTTATTTATTTTCTGTGCATGAATGTTTTGCCTGAATGTATGTCTGTGCACGACATGTGTTCCTAGTGCCCTTGGAGGACAGAGGTGTTGGATCCCCTGGAACTGGAGTTCATGGATATTCGCAAACCACTCTGTGCGTGCTAGGACCCAAACCTGGGTCCTCTGCAAGAGCCCTCTTGACCCTTAAACTATTTTTCTAGCCCCTTTAATTCATTTACTTACTGAACCTTCAGAGTGATGTTGACTGTCACTTTTGAGTGTGCAGCTCGGCAAATGCAGGCAGGTTATTAGGAGAGTCCTTAGAGAGCGGCTCCATCCTTGTACACTATGTGACATGGTAAGGGTCATAAGGGAAAGAGCAGGCTTTGTGAGAGACTGTGATGGACTTTGGAAGGCTCCACTGAGGGATGATGGCTGGTCCAGACAGATAAAACATTGTGGTTACAGGTTGGGACAGTGTTCAGCCTTAAAGTGTTTGTGGCACGTGCGAGAGCCTGAGTTCAGATCTACAACACCTATGTGAAAAGCCAGGCACAGCAGCACATACCTGTAATCCTGGTGCTAAGGAGACAGAGACGGAGTTGCTGTTGCTTACTGTCTGACTAGTCTGACTAAATGTATGAGCTCTATCTGTCTCGAAAAATAAGTTGTAAGAAATTAAGGAAGACATCAGATGTTGACTTTTTATCTCCATACGTATGTGCGAGCTTATGTCTGCACACACATGTACCTGCATACACAAATATGTATACACAACTAAACATTTTAAAAGTCTAATCACAAGTCGGGCATACTGCTGTATTCATATATCTCAGCTCCCAGGAGGCTGAGCCAGGAGGACAGGTTTCAAGCCCATTCTGGGCTGTCTCAAAAGAAATGGGAGTGGGGGGAGGCTGGAGAGGTGGCTCACTGGTTAAGAGCACTCAGTACTTTTCCAGAGGACCCAGTTTCGGTTCCCTGCACCCACATGGCAGCTAACAACCTTCTATAACTACAGTTTCAGAGGATCCAAAGCCCTCTTCTAGTCTCCAGGGGCATTGCATGCTTGTAGTTCATGGACACACTCAGGCAAACACCCATGCACCTTAAAAATAAATAAGTAAATCGTTAAAAAAAATCCCGATTGCAAGAATGAACATGGCACATCTGAAACACCAAAAAGAAGCCAGCAGGTGTAACAGTAGGAAGTCTTGGTAAATGCTGAGGCTTCTGGGCTATGGATCATGTTGTTATTGCTCTATATGGCAGTAGTACTGATCACTGAAGTAAGCAACAGAAACAGAAGCATGGCGGGTATGGTGATGCATCCTTTGTATCTCAGCACTTGGGAGGCAGAGGCAGGTAGATTTCTGTGAGTCTGGTCTACACGATGAGTTTCACCATCCAATACTATACAGTGGGACTTGTCTCAAAACAGGAAAAACCTAAACAGAATAAAATACATTCATCTCCTTCCCACTGTTCCGCGAGTGACACATAGCTAGAGTGTAGAGTCTCGTGCATGCTAGGTGTGCTAATTGCACACTCACCCCACTCAAATGGTGTACTAACTGAGCTACACCCACAGCCTTCAGCACGGCATTTTTGAGGGTCTTCCTCGTTGACTATAGTAGTTGTTCATTTTCCTTGTGTTAAAGGGTTTAGTTAGTTTTTCTTGTTGCTGTGACCGAATGCCTGACATGAAGAAACAAGGAAAGGAAGGTTTGCTCTGGCTCATAGTTTCAAAGGGTACATTCATCATGGTGAGGAGAACATGCAGCAGCTGTGGAAGGAGAGGGACGAGGGGAGGACCAGGGAGGGGTGACTAGAGAAGGGATGGAGGGGGGAGAGAGAGACTCATCCTCCCCAAAATGGCTTTCTCCAGGTAGCCTACACCTTCCAAAAGTGACATAACTTACTAAAACAAGGCCACCTAGAGCGAACCAAGGATTTAAACATGTGAGCATTTGGGAGATTTCACATTGAACCCATAGCAGCAGGTATGGAATAAGAAAGCCGAGAGCTTTCTCAAGAAGAGATGCAGTGACCGGACAAGTCAGGAGTTACATATGTAGGAAATAAAACTCAGTGATGTACCATGATTCTTGGGCGTCTTGCTTGAACAGCTAACAGATGTGCTTTCTATCGGAAAGACACATTTAGATAGAGTACAAACTGAGAGTTTCAGGTGTGACGAGTGCCTTTCTGCTGGCATTTGTATTACATGTGGAGTATGGGGGGTGGGTGAGAAGTTTCTACGGTAGAAACATCGAAGCCACTTTCAGTCAGGGATGGTACCGTGGAGAAGATCTCAACTTTACCAAGTTTCAGCCAGCTTCTATTGGCTGCACTGACTAAGAACAAATCACTCGATTTTAAAAAATCTTTTCTCATGTGAAATGGAAACATTATTTGTTTTGTAGAGTTAAGTATGTGTCACGTGATAGTGAGTCCACGGTTTAAAGCTGTTTGGCTCTGTGGATGCTCAGAAAAGTTGGTTCACGCGCATGCAGTTTGGATTGAGAGGAAAAGGTTGTGGAAACCCATGAAAGGCATGGAGGAGATTTGCTCTGTTAGGAAGCTGTAGTGTTTCTGTTTGCAGTTAGACTTGGAGAAGTCTCATTTCAAGAACTGTTTTCTAACTGCTGTGAAGAAAGAAGTTAGAGGGAAGACATCTCTATAGCCAGGTGTGGCAGCTCTTGCCTTCAGTCTCAGCATTTGGGAGGCCAAGGCAAAAAGATTGCCATGAGCTCAGCCCTGGTCATCTTAGACTACATTCAAAATAAAACAAAAGAAGTATCTAGAAAAATCAGTGATCATAGTTTAGGATAAGGTGCTGAGAGCTGTTTTGGGTTTTGAAATTAGTATAGAAGTCAAAGAATAAATAGATAGGTAGGTAGGTAGGTAGGTAGATAGATAGGTAGATAGATAGACAAACAAACAAACAAATAAAAGAAACTGCCAGGTGTGTTGATGCAGGCCTTTACTTTTAGCACTCTGGAGGCAGTGGCAGTTAGATATCTGAGTTCAAGGCCAGCCTAGGCATAGCAAGTTCCAGGCTCGCCAGCGCTACACAGGGAGATCCTGTTTCAGAAAACAAAACATAACAAAATAAGAAACTATAGGATTTGTTCAAACAGTTCTTTATGACTTAACAGTAAAGGAAGAATAAGTCACATGTGATTCTATGAATTGTTATCTGGGAAGCTATAAAACAGGCAGAAGCCGTGACAGATATGATCAAGAAGCAAAGTTGAGTCAGAGAGAAAGACTTCCTTTCAGTCCTGAGAGTGTGACTCCTGGGGTTAAAGTATGGCTATCCTCATGTCATCAGTTTCTCTATGGCAAAGAACTGTGAAAAAGAATACAAGATTAGAAACAGGAATTTTAGTCCTCAATCCAAATCATTAATTAGCTTGTGGCCCTGGGAATACCTGCATCTCTGGTATTCACTAGAGTTATCCAATAAGAGAAGCTAATGCTCATCTGCCTCAGCAGATTTCCAGAGTTGTTCTGCAGATCAAATACAGATACATATCAGGGCTGGAGAGATGACGGAGAGGTTAGGAGTACATGCTGCTCTTGTGGAGGATCCAGGTTTGGTTCTCAGCACCCATCTTGGACAGCTTACAGACCCCTGTAAATTCAGCTCCAGGGTTTCTGGATGCCTTCATGGGCACCTGAGTCACATGTATATGTGTGTGTGTGTGTACACACACACACACACACACACACACACTTTTAAGAAATGCGTTACAGATCTGGGAGTGTAGCTCAGTAGTAGAGCAAATGTTGAGCATGTACAAGGCCTTGGGTGTGATCTCTAGCACTCTCAGTACATTAAAAATACTATTGTGATTGTAACTCCCCATGTAATTATAAGATGGTTATGCTACTTCTCAGTTCAGACTAAACCAAAAATAATTGTATTTAGGGCCAGAGAAGGGAAAATAAGAAAAATGTCAAAATTTTTAACTTTTGTTTGGTGTTAATGAGATACATGTATCTGGAAACTTGGTAGACTGATTTGGGAGACTCATTTGGAAGCTTATGTCGTCTATGACAGAGATCATAGCTAAAAATGCAGGTTGCATCTTGTTGGATGTGAATATTTAACATGATTTTAGGTTGAAGAATCAACGATCGGGTCTTACTTCCATCTGTGTGGTGCTCTATGTGTGGTAGCAGAATTCAAAGGCCCTGGAAATTCAGTCTACTGCTACCCTTTGCTTTGTGGTTTTGGCAGTCTGCTTAGCCCCTCACTCAGGCCTTCACACTCTTTTATGGGAATCACAATACCTCACTACCTATCAAGTTGTTACAAAGGGTAAATGAGATAACGTAAAATACCTAGCCCAGAGGAGATACCAAGAAAGTGACAATGCCTACACTGCACCCTTATTGCCTCAGTAGAGAGCAGTTCTGGGAATTTGATTTTGTTGTCCAACATGTTTTTTGTTTTCTTAATTTTAATTTTTAGATTTTCTTTCTTTCTTTCTTTTTTTTTTTTTTTTTTTTAGCTCTGGTTGTCCTAGAACTCATTGTGTAGACCAGGCTGATCTTGAACTCATAGAGATCTGCCTGTCTCTTCTCCAGATGCTGAGATTAAAGGTGTGTGCTACCACATCTGGCCAACATTTGCCTTCTTATTAATTGTTAGCAGTTTAAAAAAAAAAAGTCTCTAGTTATTTGTTTGCTGAGTAGAACAAACAACAGCTGTATAAGTAGATGGTTATAGCTCAAAAAGAATATTGTAAGGTTTTATTTCCCTCTGTGATTTACTGTTTTGAGTTTGGTGTTAGATACTACTTGAACCGAGATGCTAGACACTGTTAATTAATCATAGAATTGAACTAGTCTGTATGCCTCAGAAGCCTTCACAATATTCCGAACAGCTAAAATCATCTCATCAAAGTTCATATAGTAATAAAAACCTCTTTGTTCTGTAGATGAAAATGTAAAAGTAGTATATGAACTATTCATTAATCCTTTTTCTGGGTGTGGACTTGTCCAACCTTCTGACAAGACAGGGTGGTCTTATTGCAGACGTTACATTATAACATTGTTACACGGTATGGGTATGTCTAAATACCTTGTAGTACATTGTGTAATTGTGTAATAAACAGAGTGATGAGCAGCAGTGGTCTAACAAAGGACTTGCATCAAAATCGGGGATGTGGTCTTAAAATACTCACACTTTAACCCCTTAACACACATACTTATTAAGCTGGAATCTTAAGACTAGACACTGACATATGCATTTTGTGATGATTCTGCTACGTATGCCACTTTTAAAACAGGTAGATAATGTACGAGTGTAGAGAATTAGACATCTTTACACTGTTAATATAATTGTAAATTGATATAGTATGGCCAGTAGAAGAGTTTGCAGCTAGATAAAGTTTTTAAACCTGCCCTGTATGAATACACACATGCCCAGATTTATAGTTTGAATTTTTTTTCTTCAAGACAGGGTCTTCTTCTATATAGCTCAGTTTGGCCTTCAACTCAAGATCCTTCTCTCTACTGCCTCAATCTTGGGATGACTAGTATATGATAGCGTACCCCGCTGAAGGAAACATTCTTCAATTGCTGTATGTGCTAGTACATGCCTATATCCTACTACTCAGGGCAAAAGTAGGAGGCTCTTGAGTTTAAGGACAGTTTACCACATAGTGATACCCTGTCTCAAAAAGTTGTTGGGTTTTTTTTTGTTTGTTTTTTTGTTTTTTGTGGACATGTTTGTATACTGAAAACTTGTAAGCAGCTAATTGGTTTATAGTACACATGTGGTTGACTGCTACAGTTTACTACATAACCATTTCAAGAATGAAGTAAAATCCTGCAGTGGTGGCTTATGCATTTACTTCCAGCACTAAGAGGCAAAGGCAGAAAGATCTCCATGAGGTTGAGGCCAGCCTGGTCTTCAGAGTGAGTTTCAGGAAAGCCAGGGCTACACAGAGAAACCCTGTCTCAAAAAAGTAAAAGACAAAACGAAAATGTTTTAAATTTGTTAAAGTTGTTATGAAACTAAGCAGGACTTTTGCTGTGTGTGATAGTGTGTTTCTGTAAACCCAGTACCTGGGAGGATGAATCAGGAAGCTCCCCGGTTTAAGGACAGCCCAGGCTCCATGGCCTATCCTATTTGCTTTATGTCTGAATTATATAGGTTTAATGCCTGCATATCTGAATGTGAAAATTAAGTATAAAACGCTTGTGTAATCTTTATCAACTAGTTGACTTCTTGCCTATTAGAATTTTAATACTTTTTAAATCCTCTTTTCAATTTTAGGCTCGATGAGAGAAAGGGAAAGTTAAGGATGCTGGAGCAGAACAATGGATTTCTCTTTCTCTTTCATGCAAGGGATCATGGGAAACACAATTCAGCAACCACCTCAACTCATTGACTCCGCCAACATCCGTCAGGAGGATGCCTTTGAGAACAACAGTGACATTGTTGAAGATGGTGGCCAGACACCCTTCGAAGCTACTTTGCAACAAGGTTTTCAATATCCACCTACAACAGAAGACCTTCCTCCACTCACAAATGGCTACCCACCATCAATCAGCTTGTATGAAACTCAAACCAAATACCCACCATATAATCAGTATCCCAATGGGTCAGCCAACGGTTTTGGTGCAGTTAGAAACTTTAGCCCTACTGACTATTACCATTCAGAAATTCCAAACACGAGACCACATGAAATTCTGGAAAAACCTTCTCCTCCACAGCCTCCTCCTCCTCCTTCGGTACCACAGACTGTGATTCCAAAGAAGACAGGCTCACCTGAGATTAAACTAAAAATAACCAAAACCATCCAGAATGGCAGGGAATTGTTTGAGTCTTCCCTCTGTGGAGACCTTCTAAATGAAGTACAGGCAAGCGAGCACACAAAGTCAAAGCACGAAAGCAGAAAGGAAAAGAGGAAAAAAAGCAACAAGCATGAATCGTCCAGGTCCGAAGAGCGCAGGTCACACAAAACCCCCAAGGTAGAGCCAGAGGGACAGAATGTAAGTTGAAATGTTATGTGTTAAGTTTTATGATCTTTCATGTGTACTGGAAATTGGAAATCTTTTTATGTTTTTCTCTTCAAATATAAATATTTGTAGTGTGTTCTTGTGATCATTGGTTAACTAAGGTGCTTGGAAATATAATGAATAAGTATTTGGTGAGTAGATAAAGAAAATTATTAGTGAGGAAATATTTTTAAAGTGTTTAACAGCAAGAATCTTATCTTCCCCTCTCCATTTTTGGGAGTTGGTTTCCAAAATAGGGTTTCTCTGTGTAGCCCTGGCTGTTCTGAAACTCATTCTGTAAACCGGGTTGGCCTGGAACTCGAGAAATCCACCTGCCTCTGCCTTCTGCTTATTTATTTATTTTTTATTTTGAGAGGCTCAGTTATTTTTACTTGTTTATACTAATCTCTTGGTTTTGGAAAATGGAGACAAAAGGCAAAGAGAAAGGGGATTTTATTTTAGGCCAAATTGGCTGGAAAAGCTTGTTTTCCAAGTGTTTGCTGCTAACTAAGCAGAGGTAGGAGAGCTCTCTACAGTAGAACATCCCCTGGGCTGTGGCTCGCACCGTTAATTCTGATACTCAAGAAGGGGAGACAGATGCAGGTGGGTTGGTCTCTGTGGATTAAAGGCTAACTGATCTACATAGCCAGTTCCAGGCCCGCCTCAAAAATAAAATACAATAAAGTCAGATGCTGATTAGTTCTTCAGGTAGAGTTTTTATAAAACCCCACATGTACTGGTGTTTCTATCTATTTATTTGTCTATCTATATCTATGTTTTTTTGAGGCAGGGTTTCTCTGTGTAGTCCTGGCTTGTCCTGGACTCACTTTGTAGATCAGGCAGGCCTCAGACTCGGATCTGCCTGCCTCTGCCTCCCAGTGCTGGAATCAAAGGCGCTTGTCACCATGTCTGGCAGGAAGATTTGTTGTTATTTATCTATTAATTTATTTTTTGGTTTTTTAATTGAAAGGCATGAGCCACGATAGTATTAAAGATTATTTTCATATCTGAGATTGATTGTGAATTTCATGGCAATAAGAGAATAATAGCAGGTATATAACAGATCAGTTCTAACTTGAATGAAGAGCTTATAATACAAACTACAGATATTTCCTAGATATGCATTTAGAAAGAAACTAACAGATGTTTATTTTGTGATAGCTGTCTGCTTTTATAGTTCATATATTTGAATAAGTTAACTTATTTTGTTTGGTTCAAAGAAAGAATACTTGTTAATTGAACATTCCTTGGATTGCTAGATTCTATTTCATATGACTCAAATGTGATTTTCTTTTCTTTTTTTTTTCTGGGTAAAGGTTGCAGATGGTCTAGGTTATCACGAGTCCAAAGTGTGGTATTTCACATATTTTCCAATTTTTCTGTCATTTTCTTATTCATTTAATACATATTAATTGAATATCACATGTCAAACACTGTTCTAAGAATTGAAGGTGTGACTGTGAAAGCAAAACAAAAAATGTCTGCTCACAGGTGCTTATATTCCAGTTAATTTATATGTATATATGTATGTTTGAGGGTGTGTGCGTTTGCTGCCAAGTCTGCATACATAGAAGCAGATAAGTAGTATATGTATATACATACCACCACACATATGCATATATTTGTATGTATACACACATTAAACGGGCACACAAAGGTTTAGAGTTTGTCACATGTTATGAGAGAAATAGAATGAGAAATTAAGAGTAATCAGAGACACTCTAGTTCTACATCTGTGAGAATGAAGGTTTTAGAATGAAATGCTTTCTTTAATAAAAGTATTTTTTAAGTGTATGATTGCTTTGCTTGTATGTATGTATATGTACCAACTTAATACCCTGCCGATGGAACCAGAAAAGGGCGTTGGATTCCCTGGAACTGGAGTTACCAACAGTAGTGTGCCATGATGTGGTGCTGGGAATCAAACCTGGGTCCTCTCGAAGAGCAGCCAGTCCTCTTCACCACAGGACCATCTCTCTGGCCTCTGTTTCCATCCCTCTCTCTCTCTCTCTCTCTCTCTCTTTTTTAAAAAAAAATATTTTATATATGAGTGCTCTATCTGCGTGTATACTTGCACGCCAGAAGAGGGCATCAGATCCCATTAGAGATGTTGTAAGCCTCCATGTGGGTGCTGGAAATTGAACTCAGAACCTCTTAAAGACCAGACAGTGCTCGTAACCACTAAGCCATCTCTTCAGCCCCCACCCCCTATTTCTTTCTCCTTCTCTCACTGCTTACAGTGTTGCTCTCTAGAACACTCTGCTTTTCAAGCATTTGGTGTGGGGTAAGGGCAGGGGTGTGTATGTACATGGCTTGCTGTGCTGCACGTGGGGAAGTCAGAGGATAGCTTAGGGAGTAGCTTCTCCTCAGTTTCCACGTTGCTCCCAGGAGTTGAGCTTAGTTTGTCTGGCTTGGCAACTGTTTGACCAGTCCTCTCGTGTGTTCTTGTGTCTGTTCATGCATGTGTATACAGGTGCCCTTGGAGGCCAGAAGAGGGCCTTGATCTCCTGGAGTTAGAGGTTGTTGAACTTGGGCTCTCTGGGCAAATACTCTTAACCAGTGAGCCATGTCTCTGACCCCCTCATGAGGTTCTGTAGTGTCTTACATGGACTTTTTTGTTGAGTTAACAAGTGGAAGGATAGAAGTTAATTGTGCAGCCCAGACACACACTGTAGCATTACTTTTTAGCCTAGCCTTGCACAGGGTAGGCACAAGCTGTAGCAGTGAGCAGCATTCCCAACCCCACTGTAACAGTTTCTTGCCTAGACATTGCAAAGAGACATGGTAACACAGTGGCTTTGGAGAATCACAAACTTTCAGAAGATCTGAATTTGCCTTTTTCGTGTATTAGTTTTTGAGAACTGCTGTACTGGCCTGAGAACATTAGGGTTTTTGTTGTTCTTTTGGGGAATCTGATTTTGCTTATATCTTTGAAATTTATTTAGCTAATGTTGTGAAAAGCTTAAATTCTGCCAGAATTTTCTTATTTATTTAATTATTTACTTTTTCGCTTGTTTTTTATTTCTTTATATTGTGTATGTGTTGATTGCATATTTCAGCTACTTAGAATAATATTGATATGAACATAACTGAACAATATTGATAAGAACATAGCTATCTCTCTGACATCAGTCTTTCTATTTGAGGGTACAACAAAAAGTGGTATTATTAGATCATGGAAGAATTTTGTTTATTTTTTCATATAATTAAAAAGAAAGAAAAGAAATTTTACTCTGATTCTTTCCTGAAAAATAAATAGATCTTCCCGTGTAGGATCAACTATGAATATTTTAAAAGCATATATACCCATAACCTCAGAAGTTTCAGATGACGTTGAATAAGACGTAACGAAGAGCTAAGTCAGTTATCCTTTAGCTGCTTTCCTCTTACTTGGTAGTTGGCCTTTCACAGCTGAAGGAAGATGTCCTCTATTCTCAGAAGCTATCTGATGGCATTTTCTAAATTCTTTCTTTTCTTGACTCAGAGTATTTGACTTCATCATTCTTTTGAGCAGAGTCTCTTCTTGGTTGCTGTGTAACTCACTGTGTAGATCAGGCTGGCTACATAAAAGTGTGTGCCACCATACCGAGCTTTGACTTAAAAAAAAAAAAAGACCTACTAATTTTTATTTTAGATGTGAATGTTTTGCCTGCATGTATGTCTGTGTACCGTGTGCATGCAGCGCCCAAGAAAGCCAGAAAAGTTTGTTGGTTCCTCTGGAACTAGAGTTACAGGTGGTTTTCCATCCTGTGGATACCGGGAACTGAACCCAAATAAGAACAAGTGCCTTTAACTGCGGAGCCCTGCACTTGACTTTTATTGGCCATTTCTCCACATAAGCCTGTCACTCTTACCCTTCCCTCCTCCCAGTCTCCCTTTTCCTTCTAAAATGCGGTCTGTCTATTCCAGGTTGCACTGCTCTTGAATGACTGTAGCCCTCCTTCCTCTTGGCCGTATGTGCGGGTGTTAAGGCTTGCCCCAGCACAAGTGGAGAACAGCTTTTCTTAATTAAGTCTGTGATACTGTGCATCAAGTTGACCCGCTTCATCTTATTAGCCCAGAGATCTCTAAATTCCTGCTGGCTTTCTGTTTTGCTCCCAGGTGAGCACATTTGTGCGGAGTTTCCTCTGTTAGTGTGGCATCATTTCATGGAATAAGGGAATTTAGAGTAAATCCTGGGCTTTTTTTCTCTTGCCACATCTTTCTTTTGAAAATGACTGAAACTTTCAAATGTTTGTAAGTGATTTTGACATTGTATCAAAACAGCCTGAAAGAACTGCCAACAATTGAGTCAGCTGTTTCTCTGTGTAACCCTGGCTGTCCTGGAACTCACACTGTAGACCAGGCTGGCCTCAGACTCAGAGCTCTGCCTTCCTCTGCCTCCTGAGTGCTAGGGCTAAAGGTGTGCGCCACCATGCCCTCTTTTTACTCACTTGCATGTGCTCATGGCAACCCTACAGAAGCATCTCACAGCTAACTTGGGCTTGGATTACTGCAGTGTTCTGGTTAAGCAGGTCCTGCTCCCCTTCTGCTTCCTTCCAAAGTACTCTCGACATGTTAGCCAACAGCATCTTTTAAACCAGTGGCTTTTTATTGCACTTAAAATGAAATATAAATACTTTGTCATGGTTTACAAGGCTCTTGCAATCTAGCCTGCTCTTCCATTCTGATGAGCGTCACTCCTCCTTGGGCAGTGGGTTAGTGGGTGTGACCTTTTAAAAACATTAACTAATTAGTTAATTATGTTAGTGTGCATAGGTGTTTTGACTACATGTATGTCTGCACTATGTATAAGCCCGGTGCCTGCAGAGATCAGAAAAGGCTGTTGAATCTCCTGGAATTGGAGTTACAGACACTTGTCAACTGCCTTATGGGTGTTACACATCAAATCTGGTTAAGAGCACTGGATGCTCTTAACCACTAAGCCATCTCGGTAGCCCCAATTGTTGTGACCTTCAGATGTCCACCTTTTAATCTTGGGTCTTTATTATTGTTCTGTTGCTGTGAAGAGACACCACAACCAAGGCAATTCTTATGAAAGAAAACATTTAGTGGGGGCTTGCTTACAGTTTTAGAGAGTTAGTCAATGATAATCATGGTAGGGTGCAGACAGGATGGTGCTAGGGAAGTAGCTGAGAGCTTTATGTCCTGATCAGCAGGCAGTAGGCAGAGAGAGAGAGAGAGAGAGAGAGAGAGAGAGAGAGAGAAACATTGGGCTTGGCATGGGCATTTGGAACCTCAAAGCCCACCCTAGCAACACACTTCTTCCAACAAGGCCACACCTACTCCCAAAAGGCCACTCCTCCTTAATCCTTCTCAAATGGTTCACTAGCAGGCGATGGAACATACGAGTTTATGGGAGCTGACTGTATTCAAATCACCACACCCCTTGCTATTTCTTCTTTCCCCACTTTTTACTAAGCCAACTCCTCTTCCATTGCTTCTCAAATTATAGCCTCCTTTCTTAGAGAGGCCTTGAGGTCAGAGCTATCTCTGTTTATAAGTATATGGCCTTATGTAAGCCATCTGAATTTCATTCTCTGAAAAGAAGTTAAAACAAAAGCCAAAACTACCAGGTATGGTAGTGCACTGCTTGAATTCCAGCACATGGGAGACAAAGGCAGGCAGATCTCTTTGAGGCCAGCCTGGTCCACAGTGTGAGTTCCAGGACAGCCAGGGCTACATAGAGAGACCAAAATAAGTAGATAAATAAACAAATACACACAGAAGACCCCAAATTAATAGATAAACTTTTTACTTATAAAAGTTATTTACTTTCTTTTTTTTTTTTTTTTTTAAGGCAGCATCTCATTAGCCCTGGGTGGCCTGCCCCTGTCTCCTGAGAAAATTTGCTTTTTACAGAAAATGCAAATAATACAAAAGTATAGATTTTTTTTTTTAGCATTTCTTAACGTCATTGTCAGAGCAGATAATTAATCTTATACATTTGTGTCAAAGCTTTTTAAGGTGCACATATATATGTATATATTGCTTTTATACCACAATTTAATCACATTTATTTTTATGTAACTATATTAAAGGTTTATTCATTCATTTAGTCATGCTTGTGTTTGTTTGTATCTATATGGGCCATGTGCACATGAGTGCCTTTAGAGGTTGGAGGCCTTGGCTCCCTTGGAGCTGGAGTTCCAGGCAGTGTGAGCCTCCAGATGTGGGAGCTGGAACTGAACTCTGTAGGAGCAGGTGCTCTTAACTGCCGAACCATCTTCAGCCCCATCTACGTTGTCTCCTTGTGTTACTTTTATAAGCAGGACTGCTATGCATATCTTCACACATTTTTTTCTTCTCAGCGCCTTTCAGAAACTATTTTAGAAAATTTCCTGGACAAGAGTCTGAAAATTTAAGACTCTCCATACATATTACTAAAGTACTTTCCAGAAAATTCCAGGTTTACCTCATGAGCTGTTTTTAGTGTCCTACTTTTCCTTCAATCTGATAAATTTAAAAAAGAAAACGGCTGGTGAGATCTCATTGAGTAAAGGTGCTTTCTGAGAAATTGATACCTGTGTTCAATCCTTGGAAGCCACATGAAGGAGAGAAACAACCCCCAAGTTATCCTCTGACCTCTGCACACACATCATGGAGTAATGGGTGGGGCAGGCAAGAGAAGAAGTAGAGTTTTTAAAAAGGGAAAAGCCAGTTTGCTTGCAACATTGCTATTTAGGTGATAGCGTAAGCACCGAGAGCTCTCCTGTGGTGTGGAATGGAAAAGTGCCTGTTAACACAAGGCACCGTGCACTGAGTAATCCATCTTACTCCATCAGTAGTTACATCCTTCATGCTCTTTAACATTTGGTTTCCTTTGATTTTTTTCATATAGCTCAGTTCTTAGGTTTACTGCCTCTTTATTCTATCCCCTACATTTTTCTGCCTAGAGACCAAATGAGAGGGTGGACACTGCACCAGAAAAGCCAAGAGAAGAGCCAGTACTCAAAGAGGCCGTCCCGGTGAGTGGCTCGTTGAATACTGTGAACCAGGTATGGCGTCAGAAAAAGATGACAGGGCTGGAGAGATGGCTTAGTGATTATGAGCCCTGGAGGCTCCTTAGAGGACCCAGGTTCGATTCCCAGCACCGACATGCTATCTCCAGTACCAGGGAACCCAACACTCTCTTCTGACCTAAGGAGGCATTGAGCACATATATTATACTTACACGTATGTTGCTCGTATGCAGGCAAAATATTCATTCATATAAAGTAAGATCAGTAAATCTTAAAACAACAAAAAAGACATGACAGCACAGCGACTGATTCTTAGCAGAGTGCCATTACAGCTCCACAGCCCATCTTTATGTCAGAAAATGCACTGAAAAAAATCTTTGAGCCTTTTAGGAATAGATGCTTCCTATGAATTATTTTCCTTATAAAAACCCTGATCATTTTGTTTTACTGAACTCTCAAGACGCATTATTATTAATTTGGCAACAGAAACCAGTAGTCCTGTTTTCAGTATTGAGGATGAGCTTATTATTTTTTTCCTCATTCTTCTTTTTTGCTAGTTATAGATAGCGATATCAGAGAGGATATAATTGAAGATGACTTTTACATTAGCACTTAGTGTGTGTTCATGTTCATGAGTATGGATGTGTGTATGCCGCAGCATAGAGCTTGGATGTCAGAGGGCAACCTTGGTGTCCTTCCACCTTGTTATGGATGTTGTTTCCCCCCCCTCTTCACCCCAACCCCCGGGTGTTTGCTAGGCTGTCTGGCTACCTCTCATCTCCATAGGAACACTGGGACCTGCTTTATGTGGGTTCTGACTCAGCTCCTCATGCTTGAGTAGCAAGCCCTTTACCCTCTGAGCCATTGCCCCAGCCCCGGAAGCGCTTTGAATGTACTTGATGCGTAGTTCTCTCCCTTTCCCTCCCTTGCTACCTTTCTCCCTCTCTCTATCCTCCCTCTTCTTCCTTTCCTTTCTTCCCCTGCCCCTTTCTTTCTTTTGTAATGGAATTTTGTGACATTTTTCTGTAGGTTCCTTCCTTCTTTCTCTCATTCTTTTCTGATGGAGTTTTGTGACCTTTTCCTGTAGGTTCAGCCAATACTGTCTTCTGTTCCAACAACAGAAACGTCCACTGGTGTTAAGTTCCAGGTCGGTGATCTTGTTTGGTCCAAGGTGGGAACCTATCCTTGGTGGCCTTGTATGGTTTCAAGTGATCCCCAGCTTGAGGTCCATACCAAAATTAACACAAGAGGTAAGACAAGTAATAAATAGACATTAAGTAACAAATTTGCAATAAAGAAAAGTGAACATTCAGTGTTGTATGTGAATGTAAGAATATACATATATATTATCTGACATAAGAATATGAATCTTTATCAGATTTTTATTTTTTATTGTGATGTGGTTTTGATTCAGGGTCTTATACTGTAGACAAGGCTGATCTCAACCAGCTAGTATCATCTAACCTCCTGCTTCTGCTCCTCAGGGTTTTCTCAGTTTTTAATGACAAATGAAATAATTTTGGTCATTTTAAACTGGCAGAGAACTTCCGTAACTAATGTCTTTATTATCTCACTATATAGCCTGGCTAGTCTGGAATTGGATTCATATAGTTCAGGCTGGCCTGGAACCCAGATGCCCATCTTCATCTTCTGAGTGATGAGAAATACATGTGTCATCATATCTAGCTCTTTTCATAACTTAAAAAAAAAATTGTGTGTGTGTTTACATTTGTATGTGCTGGTGCCACAGAGGCCAGAGGAAGACATTAGATCCTCTGGAGTTGGAATTGCAAGTGATTTTGAGCTGCTTAGCATGGGCACTGGGAATCAAACTTGTGTCCTCTGAAAGAGTAGCAAGTGCTCTTTGGTGTTGTTTGAGACAGGGTTTCTCCTGTGTAGCCTTGGCTATGCTGGACTCGCTTTGTAGGCCAGGCTGGCCTGGTACTCAGTGATCTGCCAGCCTCTGCCTTCCGAATGCCGGGATCAAAGACATGTGCCTCAGCTCCCGGCAGAGCAAGTGCTCCTCAGCACTGAGCCAACTCTTCAGCCCCCAGTAACTATTTCCGCCTTAGGACAAGGGATTGAAGTACACACAGGAGGTGAGCATTCTACCACCAAGTTTTAACACCAGCCTTTTGGTTTGTTCGTTTTTTATTTTATTTATTCATTCATTCATTCATTCATTCATTCATTCATTCATTCATTTATTTATTCATTCATTCATTCATTCATTTATTTGTTTGTTTATTTATTTATTTAGTATACAATATTCTGTCTGCATGTACACCTACATGCCAGAGGAGGGCAGATTTCATTGTAGATAGTTGTGAGCCACCATGTGGGTGCTGGGAATGGAACTCAGGACCTCTGAAAGAGCAGCCAGTGCTCTTAACCTCTGAGCCATCTCTCCAGTCCCCCTTGTTTGTCTTTTAAAGATTTGTTTTTATTTTAAATTATTTTGGGGATATGTGCACCATGTACCCACATAGGCCAGAACAGGGTATATTAGTTCCATTGGAGCTGGAGGTACAGGCAGTTGAGAGCTACCTGCTGTGGGTGCAGAGAACCAAACCTCTGTTCTCTCTATGAGCATTATGCACTCTTAACTGCTGAGCCCTTTCTCCCACCCCTTCACCACAGACCTTTTCATTTGTTTACTTCTGAGAATACCTGAGGGATTATCTTAATTACATTAGTTGATGTAAGAATAGATGTGTGCAGTGTCAGTTCCCTGGGCATAGTATCCATTACTATATATATATAAAATATATTATATATATATATATAATTTCTCAAAAAAAACCTCAAAGTAGGGTGTGGCATGGTGCATACTTTTAATCCCAGCACTGTGGGAGCAGATGTAGGCAGACATCTCTAGTGACTGCCAGGCCAGCCAGAGCTGTCTCCTAGTAAGACTGTCTCAAAAGACTTCATTATTTTCTGCTCAGTGTGGCTGTAATGGGAGCGGTTTCCAGCCGCTCTGAGTTGCTCGATAGGCTGGACTGTAACTGCCTGGGCCTGAACTCACTGTGTAGTCCAGTGCTTGAGCTTGCAGTCTTCTTGCCCCAGTTTTTCTAATCTAAGGTCCACTGTATGTGTCTCCTGACGGTGTTTATAATTTCTTTCAAGCTTCTTTGCCTTTTTTTTTTTTTTTTTAAAGATTTATTTATTATTGGTACAGCATTCTGCCTGCATGTGGACCTGCGGACCACAAGGGGGCAGCAGATCTCACTATAGATGGTTGTGAGCCGCCATGTGATTGCTGGGAATTGAACTCAGGACCTTTGGAAGAATAGCCAGTGTTCTTAACCTCTGAGCCATCTCTCCAGCCACCTTCCTTGTCTTAAGGACACTAATCTTACTGGCTTTCATACATCATTATTTTAAAAAGCATATTAGTAAGTGACTAGAAATTTTATATGAGTTTAATGTGTAGGCTAAGCCTTTTTTGAACTATGCTGTGTTTTGTTTGATTTTGTTTTGATACAGGGACTCTATTCTGTATAGTCCAGGCTGTTTCCAACCTCATTACCCTTCTGCCTCATAATTCTGAGCTCAGGGATTACAGATTGGACTCATCATGCATAACTTGGGTGAACATGAGTTCACTCTGGATTCCTATGAGAATCATTTTCACCCAAATAAGTACTTTTCATTGAATTAAATTTCACACTGCGTTTATCTTCTTCTGTTTCATTCATGACTCTGTAAATAGGCTTGGAAAGCCTTATGTATTTGATAGGGCATACAAGTATGACTTAGATCTAATTATAGTGAATAATCTGACCTTAGGAATGTTACAAATTAAGAAAACTTATATTCTGTGTGTACTTTGTCTAGACATATTTGGTTTTGACCAAAACATGATATGTAGTAGATTCCTTAGATTCTCCCACCTGAAAGTGATTTACTAAGTTCTATAACTGTTTAAGTTGCCTAATATTTATACCATAAAGATGTGGGAGGTGTAAGCTGAGGTAAAAACCTGCTAGCTCAGCGAAGTAACTTTACTTTATACAGAACTATATACGGAATATGTATTTACAAGCCTGATTCTATAGCTAAACTGCTAGCTCCGTAGAAATCTTTCTATCTGTGTTATTCTTCCGTCTTAGTCTACCTTTCTCTTGAGCTCCTCCAGCTCCATGAGGGCTCCTTGGCTTTTTTTCCTAAAATTGTTTTACCTGTGTCCTGCCAGCTGATTCTCTGTTGTCCCTGCAAGACCAGAGAGAGAATTCCTATCTCTTAACTTAGAGCTCAAAGGTCCTATTGCTATATTAGAAGTTTCTAGCTCCGCCCCCAATCCCTTGGCAGGCTGAACCATGTCACCATCATGTTGGGAGCCACCAAGCCAAGTCAGTAAGGCCGAACCATTTCACCTATATGGTGGGACAGATCAAGACCACCCAGCTGACTTTGCCATAGAGCAAAGACCACAGACCTCTCCCAAGCAACTTGCCTTAAATAGCAGGGACTTTCAATTCTTCACTTTATTTATTTGTTTGTTTGTTTATTTATATGGAGGCTTTCAGAGACACACCCAAACTGGTTCTCTTCAGGACACAACTAACGGCATCGGACATCTATTTAAGTTTTTATATTTTGCTAACAATTAGGTTTTGAATGTAAGATAATCAGGTATCTTGAAGCTGAAAGAAATTTTGGCGTACACTTAACTCTGTGTACTTGTTTGATGAACACACCCTTGTCATGTACTGAATTTTCCATTATCTGAGACAGTTTTTACCTTATCTATTTTTGACACTCCACTTCCTTCTTGGTACTGTTCACTATCACTGAGAAGGAAAAGTGTGTGTGTAAGTCTTGCAGGTTTGTGGGCTTTACCCCCTGGCGGCGCTGGCTACATAGCCAAGACTCTCTAAGCACAGCAGGTGGTGTTAGTCATCATCTTTCATCCTGGTAACAAGTGCCATTCAAAGATGAGGGTGGGGGATAGGGGGTGATTTTTTGTTTGCTTGTTTTGGGGGGTACTGTATTAGGTGGCTCTGTGAAGTTTTTTTTTTTTAATCTCTCTCTTTTTCTCTTGAGGCAGAGTCTCATGTAGCCTAGGCTGGCCTCAAACGTGCTATGTAGCTGAGGATTATGTTGAACTTCTGATTCCCCCCTCTCAGCCTTCTACTGGAATTGCAGTCATGTACCACCACACTTGCCTTATTGGGTCTGAGAATGGGACTCAGGGTGGTTTTTTTTTTTGTTTTTTTGTTGTTGTTTTTTTTTCATACAAAACAAGCACTTTACCAACTGAGCTACATCTGTAGCCTACCTACTGAATATTTTCTTCTGTGATGCTCACAGCAGCTAGGCATGAGGTATATCCTATGTCTCAGAAAATAATCGAAAACCACCTTATTTTATAACCCTTGCTCTACAACTCTTACCAGTTGAATCCCTGCAGTTATAACTAAGAGAAGCATTTATAGAAAAAGGGTGTTAGGTCAGAGCTCATGAAGTACCTTGGAACTCTCATAACTATGCATAGAGAACATGGCAGGATTATCCAAGAAGACTAAATCTTCTGAAATAATTCCTGTCCATATCCAGGGCTCGAGAGCTTTCAAAATGATACCATGTGAGAGTCATGGCTCTTCTGTTGTAACCTGTAGTGGTGTAAATAAAGACACAGAGGCTTTTTAGTATTTTAAAGCTTAGGCCTTTGGCTAGAGCAGTCTCCTAGCCAGCTGTCTAGACTAACCTGACTAATCCTAGGACCACGTCCTGCCACGTGGCTAGTTCTACCTCTCTGCTCTGCTCTGCTCTGTTCATTCACCTGTGTATGCTGGGAAATTTTCCTCCTTTGTTTTCTTCCTCCCAGCATCATTGTCTCTTGCAGAAGTTCTACCCCCCCACACTTCCTGCCCAGATATTGTCCATCAGCTCTTTATTACAACAACCATTAGGCAAGTGAGGAAGGACAAATATTTACAAAATATAAGACTAGTGATGAACCACAGCAATAATACTACTAATATCCAGCTAGTACTTAGCTCTCTGGCTGGTAAGCCGTCTGCCAGTTTAGTCGTCAGCAATTTAATATGCAGAGACAGCTTCACACAATGTATGCCACCAGCAACCTTTTGAGATTAAGGAGTTTTTACATTTTTCTTTTAAAGGTTTATTAAAATTTTTAAATTCTTGTATGTGTGTGTTGGGGTACGTACACATGCCTACAGGTGCCCTTGGAGGCTCATGTCCCCTGGAGCTGAAGTTAGAGGCAAGTTGTGAGCTTCCT